CGCCAGCACCAGCAGCACCCGCAACAAAGGCGGCCGCAGCACTACTACCACTAAACCTACCTTCGAGCTCTCTCTTGTAGATTGCAAAGCATGGCGAGAACATCTGGTTCTTGTGAAGCTCTGGATGCGTCTCCTAAACCGAAGGTCATTGCCGCTGACGCATCTTGTTTCCGGCTCTCCACACTTCATGCCGAGCCACTCTGGTCCGGACCACCTGAAGCAAGTGCCCAACGATCTGAAAAGTCCGCACCACCGTGTTCTAGCTGCCCTGCTGGGCCCGGTGCCCGCGGTGACGGGACCCGGGGGCTATCCAGGGTCACCTGCGTCCAGGTAATGTCAACAAGGACACAGTCCCTGCAGGGCGCAGGCTCTACACTCCGTGCCGAGTCACTCTGGTCCGGACGACCTCAAGCACATGATGGAAAGCATGACATTGGGAAGAGGAAAGGGTCTACAGTCTCTGCACTCAGTTCTGCTCAGGCACACATAGACTTAGACGTGTAGCGCAGCAGAACCCCAACAAGACAAGTGCTGCATGCTTCTTTCTGGGCCCACTGCCCGCGGCGACGGAACCCGGGGGCTCTCTACGGCCTGTCCCACTCAGCTCTGTTGAAGAATCGGGAGTTTGGGAAGCTGTTCTTCCCTGTGTTTTAGGATTGTTGGACTTGGGCATTGTGTGTATCGCTTTTCTGAAGTCTACTCGGTCTTTCTGCCATTCTAGCAAAACGCTGCCCTCAAGATTCGCGAACCACTCAAGACGCTCGAAGTCCCCGATCGCGAACTTCAAACTGCCGTGTTACTTTTCGCGCCTGCCATCCAACCTGCTGCACTGAAGACTGTGTCTCCAAGCCAGTGCAGCACCCCCGCTGTGAGACGTGAGCGATATCTCCGGATCCTTCTCAGCTGCCACAAACCCATCAATCCGAGCAAGCTCCTGGCCACGTTGGCCGGTCATGGAGACAAGTATAATGATAATGAGGACACTTGTCCCCCAGACAGCCTGCGTCTCGCTCTCGGCTCCCAGCTACCGCAAGTGGCGCCGAGCCCTTCTTGGAAGCGTCTTCCAAGCACTCAGGGCTGCCGCGTTGCACTTGCGGCTGCAAAACGAGAGTTCGGTTCCTTCTGCTTCCTCTTCCTCTGAAGCGCCAGGAACAGTATACTGTGACTATGGGACTGCTCGAGGGAGGCTCCCTGGAGTTTGAAGAGCTGACAACAAAGCGGGCCCCCAAAAACATTTTTTCCAAGCGCAAGTTTCAGAGTTTACAGAGAATTTGCTGGAAGAGTCTTGAAAGACAGCCTAGGCCCCTCGGTGCCACGGGGCAAGGGAGTGACCCTCTTGCTCTAGCTTAGTTCGCTTGGGCCTCCCACAGTTGCCACTGGACATCGGACAAGAAATAGATTGCAGCGGCAGGTAGCTGCGCCCGAATGAATTCCGCGGCCGCGCCGGGTCAAGCTCTGCCCAGAACATCCTTTGCCGAGGAATGTGGGACATCGGGGAGAACTTCGAGCTTGAGGTGCTGGGAGACACGAGAAAGCTCTGCGGTCAGCAGCATACATCTTTCAGTAAATCACGTTAGAAGCTGTGATGAGGCTGGGTAGACGGATCTGTCGAGACACATCGTCCTTGGAGGGCATCGCCGGCGCCAAGACCTGCTATTTGAAAGCACCGTTTTGCCTTCGTACGCCACCGGGAACCTTCAGCCTTCAACCTCAAGCAATCAAGCCCCTCTCCTCCTCTCCCCAGCAACCTCCTTGCAGATATGTGCAGCATCTTCTGCGAATCACAAGACTGCGCGCTTCTCCACCACAAGCATATGCTTGCAGCTGGCCGCCACTTGCTCTTGAAGCGTTTCAGGATTTGGAACATCAGGCTTCTTGTAGATACGGTGTTTCGGCCGAGGACTGTGGGGTCGGATGTAGCAAAAGTGGCCGTGTACTCCCTTGCGAGGGACCTGGCTGTTGCAGGTTTTGCGGCGCAGTCGCCGCTTGGGCAGCCAGCTCTCCTGCCGAGGCTTTTTGGGCTCCCCGGAGGCCCACTACAGCTCTGCACTGGAGATCACTACAGCAATTGAAAAAGCATCGCTTCACTCACACTGCCTGCAGAGGGCTCGAGGTGAGCACATCGGCGAGGAAGGCATGATGGTCCTCGACGGCAAGCACAAGCAGCGGCTTGTAAGACTCAGCACGCACCATTCAGCAAGGCCGGACAGGCTGGTTGCCGAGATTCCGAAGGTATCCAGTCCTCAGCGAGGCTGCTCCACAGATTTGCTGGGACTAGTATCTGTGATAGCTGCCGGCCGGGGACGTGAACGGCATCTAAAGTTAGTATCATTTTCTCAACGAGCTTGGTATCATTTCGCTGCGATGTGATGTTACTACCCTTCCATGACTCGCAGACGTCCGGCTACCATCGTCGCCAGGCAGCCATCTTTGCGTCGTCGGGAAGTCGCATCCAGGAAGTCGCCACCTCTGGGAACCCAACCTCCAAGCCCGGAGCCCTCCAACTCCCAAGGCCCAAGACTCAATCCCCAAAGCTCCAACTCCAACAAGAATCCCAAGCAACGCATCATCTCGCTGTTGCTGTCCGGCCCCCACCTCTGCCAGCAAGCCGCGCCTTTGCAAGAGACAGAAAGTTCTACCCACAGAAAGAAATCTCCCCGTTTTTGCAGGCAAGGGGAAGGACCCTTCTGCAAACCAGCTGGAGACAACGGA